TTTGTTACTGACCTAAGATCAGCTGTTTTATTAATCCGGATCATTTAGTAAAAGTCCAATTAATCGACAACGTGTAGTGTAAACTCCACAGTAAGTCTGTGTGAGTGGATTGGATCGTTGACCAGAGAATACAACAATTTGGAAATGTTCCAACAGCTGAGGGTTGAAATATGGCTTCGTTGTACAACTACAACTCCTAACCTCTTAACGATCTGTACACTAATGTGAACTACAGACCAATCTATTACATAAGACATACACTTATTTTTTAATTTACATGTTTATCTTATTTTAGGGCAAATCTTACAGTGTGCATACTGTACTTTTTTGTTGAATACCACAGGAAAAGCAATAGTTTTTAAGTAGACTGTTTATTTGGTAAACAAATTAAAGTTTGTGAACTCCCATAAGTTTTAGTAAAGATCATAACATGCATACTCCACGTATACTGGACAGAATTATGGTTTCGAGCCCAAACCCCATAAGTCTCCATGGTTACTATGCATACTACAGTGCTTGCAAGGGTGTCCTCACTTATAATTCAAGTAAGTTTAACCTCAGAATGAATTATTACTCTGAGGCTTAAAACAGAAAATACACTGCTAGATCTTAAGCGAATGTTGGTACCTCATAAGAACGGTGTTGATATTGACGTATTTTTGTGAGTAATTACAGGAAGTAAGGGAGGAATACCCCTCATCAGAACAGCCCCCCCCCCCCCCAACCACTCATTCACAACGGAGAAATCCACATCCCAGCTGTCATTTATGTTGGTAGCCATGACAGCAGCGCAATCAGCTGACACTCATTGTTACCATTACACTCGAGTCTTCCTAGAGCCAAGAAAAATCAATTGGCTGCTTGACACGGTCGTTTTGTGTTATATATTGTAAATATTGTGACATGATGACAAAAAACAACGCTTAAAACTTAGTATTATAAATGACTAGGTACTGTATAGAAATGTACATTACATTGACATGGTAAAGTCGTAGCCAGTATAAAAATTGTTATTAAACTTAGCCATTAGCAGAGTGCGCTTACGAAAATTACTGGATTCTGTCAACTATCACTCCATGTTTCCCCCCCACCAAATTCATAGGACCTTGGACGACTTATTGTTAACTATAGGGCTAGTTTACATTAACTGCCACTGTTACAAAAACTAGGAAGAGGTTTTTATCTGTAGCACACTCTCTGATTTTTTAAATCCCAATACGTTACTTAAACGTTCACAAAATATATACAGAAATTTGATTGTTTCAGTTGGCTATGTGCACATTGTAAAAATAACGCCCGGTAAACTTAACGTCCGGGAAGAGAGGCCTGAATGCTTTTCAGACCAGGAACAAGGCAAAGATTATCTCAAGATTACCCTACTAAAAAAGGACAATTTTCAAAAATTGCATGGTTGATGATGTACGGGTTTGGAAATGATCACTGGGAAAAAATGGGTATTTCCTAGCTACAAGGTAACTTCGCAGCTGCACTGTTAAATGTTATTAAATAGCAAAGTTGTCATACTATAAATTAAAACACTCCCACGAATACAGTGAAAACAGACAATGAAACGACAATGTCGCGTAGCTCTGATTTTTCTTGGCTCGAGGGCTAAACAGACCCATGGATACTGAATTATACATTCTATCTATAGGCCTATATGGTCCAGTTATAGCAAATTATTTTTTTTATGATTGTTTAATTGTTTATGTCAAATACTTTGATCAATAGTAAGCCGTTCTTGCAACACATTTAAAATCATTGTTCTTTATTCTAGATTCAAATCCCGTTGCAAAACTGGGGAAATTTGATCTAAAAAATAAATAAAACCATGTTTGTTTAAATAGCAAGGTTTTAAAGTACAGTATTCCCCGTAGGCACCCGCAGGGTATAACATTGTCGTAGTTACTGCAAAAGAATTAATTTCGACGGTTAGCTGAAAAAATAGAACGGGAATCAGCAGTCAAAACCTAGATTCTTTCAAATGTATACAAAAAATATTATAGCGTTATGTGTTATACCCTTAGTTCGTTTAGCAATACATAGCGTAATTGCTGTGCTACTTTGTGCCTCACCGTCAAGAACATACTTGTATTTGACAAAAGTATGAGTGAGTAGAAATACAATTTATTATTATTTACTTTGTAATTACCGAATACGAATACATCACACACAAGTGCCTGTGAAGTATTACATCACTGCCATTTAGATCGTATTTTTCAACAATGAGCATGAACACTATTCGCAAGACTGTGGGAGTACATTTTTCCTGACAATAATCACAGACACACGACTGGTCAGCCTTGGATAGGCCAATGATGACGTCACCGGCGATTAAATACGTGAGTATTGTAACAACATTTCTGTACAACACCTTCGACTTTGGATAAAACTATACAGTACATGGTACATTCCCATTTTAAACTTTTAGTTCATTTTAGAATGAGCAACGACAGAATACGCTGATGAAATTATTGATTTCGGTCGATTACGCCAACATTTAAAATCGAGCCAAACTTTCGACGCCTGTTTTTTTCCTTTTTTTGTTGCACCACTTTCGAAGCATCAAAAAGCTACTACCTTTTCCCAAAATCGAACAGGCGACCTTTTTGATTTTCATGCGAGCACTATAATATGTAAGATGGATCCTGTCTCCTGACTCTTCTTTAAACATTAGTTAGTCCCCAGATAGGAGGTAGACGAAGGGTCCATGGTCCATCATTCAGATCGTAATGACCACTTAGCTACCCAGTTCAGACCACTGTGGGGGAAAAACATTAGTAATAGTTTTAAATTAGCGTTATTTGATCGATAAAAGTAAACAGCAAATGTAAATAAGCGATAGATGAGTCATAACCAATTGCTGGTAACAGGCTACGACGGCGCCGAGGTCATTGCCACAGCTTATCAATGACTGATACCAGAGTAACCTTGTCCGAGCGACGCGGAAACCACTCCAAAGGAAACTAACTATAGTAACCATATGCTCACCCAATTTTAGAAAAGAATTAATGAAAAGCTGCAACTTATGCATGTTTAAAAGTAACAACCATTGGTACGATATCAAAATTCAATAACTTAAAACGCTTAACGTGTACTAGTACAGTAATCTCTACAATATCTACAACAAAATTTGTCTTAACGAATGTTTTGATAGATCATCGGATTTATTTGACTTGTCCCGCATTCATTCATCAAATGTGAAAACTGTTGCAGTTGTCCTGTGTAAGGACTTACATGGAAATAATGCAGTGACTCACCTGAGTCCTTACTGCCTGTAGAATGACTCATGACTCATGTCCCCCGTATATAATTTTTTAATGCACGTGAGTTAATTTTCGTCATACTGCATCAAAAACAGCAGTTTTTAATGCATGCGTTGCGGTTGCGGCTCTAGAGTAGCATAGGGAGTAAAAATCAGCTGTTGTAAACCGTTGTTAATTTCAATTGTGGCAATCGTATCGATTGAAATTATTTTTCGATTGGTTTATTATGTATGTTTAGCCTATTGTCGATCGCTCGACATATCGATGGTATAAACTGTAACACAATCGTAATAGACGAAATGATTGAATAACCTAATAAACAGCTGCTTAGTTGCATTAGCAGAATTAAAAACAAGCTAGAAGTTGTTTTGAGAGGTTACCTGTACATAAAAACTATTTCGTTTTCTAGCTTAATTTGTTAATTTATGATGCAATATGACGAAAAATATAGTTTACCACACGGGCAAAAAGTGTCTTTGTAACCCTCGCTCCATTTCCGACCTCGGCTTCGCCTCGATCGTAAAACTTGACCTCGGGTAAAAAATAGTCACTTTAGGCCCTATAGGGATGAAATATACTACATTTATTTACTTTTAAATTACTGTAACTGTTTTCTACACCATTTCCAATTTTATTTGAGAGATATACAGTTGTGTTTATTTCAGAACATGTTAGTCAATTATTTTTTTTTAGAAATATCAAATAAAATTGAGAACAGTCAGTTTATTTGAGAAGGCATCAGATGAATTTAAGAGCCGTGAATTCAATTTAAGAAATAGTTAAATGTACATACTTGAGAACTTGTGATTTAATACTTTAATACATTTCAATGAAATGGCGACCATAAAGTAGGTATTTAAAGCCAAGTATGAATATGGAGATGAGTGGAGGCAGGATGAATCGCGTAATTTGATAAGGAAAAATAAATATTCAACTGATTTTTATCAAATTCTCAAATTAAAAACTCACATTCTGAAATTAAATTAACGATTTCTCGATTCTATACTGTATAATACTTTCTCAAATACAATTGACTATTCTCAACTACATTTTTTGTTTTATCAAATTTAACTGACTTATCTAATTTACATTTAATATCTTCTCAAATACAAGAAATATGATTCTCAAATACAATTAAAAACTTCCAAAATAAATGTGGAAAAGGTGTAAAAAACACAGGTACATTTTTATCACGTCTTTTTAATTTGAGAGTTTTATCTTTAACAATAAAGAATTTAAGCCGGATTTTCTTATACTATAAGATACAGTAGGCTACATAAGAAAATACTGCCCTAGCAAACCTGTAGACTAAGGGAATTTCCGTTTGCCTGAATGGATTTTCACATAAATATTTCCTTAAAGATATGAGATTTATTCCCTATTTTAACATTAGGTTTTACGAGTACTTATTGAATTATTCGTTACCTTGCCTTTGTTCTTGCAGGTTTCAGATGGTTCCTCCAATATATTTGGCCACAGCCACAATTATGGTATCTTCAGAAAGTAGAGAAGTTCTATTTACATATTATACATACACTATATACACACACAGCACAACAACGCCATTTAGTTTTCATAGGTTTTCCAGGGCAAATTAATAAATTTTATCAAAGTATTTTTCAATTCAAGTAGGCCTACAGTACCATCAATGTAGGCTATATGAAACTTGGAAACTTTGGAGTAAATTATTTTAAATAAATAATTAAGATGTACACAATCTTTTTTACAGGTGGAAAAATACCAAAAGCTAAAGGGTGAATACCAAAAGCTGAAGAGTTTATATCAAAAGATGGAGGCAGAGCACAGACAGATGAAAGAGTAAGATTTCAAGTTGTGTATTTTTTCTAGTTACAGTAATTAGATGATGACTGTGTTCCTAAGTCATGTGTGCCATTTGGACACTAAACAAATATTCATTGTGAACACTTCACTAAAAGCAAATACGTTTGGTTATCATTCAGGAAGTGGTAAGTTAGTCTATATAATTACAATTTTAAGATAACTATTGGCCATCTATAAGGTGCAATGATGTAAGCAACATGTCTTCATTTTAAATCAACAAATTTTGCAATTGCCATGAAATATTTCTCCGTTGTGAATGTATTAACTACAAAACGGGTAGAGTGACACTATGTTAATGTTCCTGTATTACTAAGGAACCAACTGTTCTTTATATCTTTGTGTTTGTTGTTTTACTCACTTGGTGAATTTAGGTAATGTGTTTTATTAATGAAAGGTTGTAGAAGTTTAGTATTTTGTTTTTCGTATTTCCTAACTGTGTATTTTTTAATGAGCTTTAGGTAAAGAGGTCTGACCAAAATCTAAGCATTTTTGTACAAATATATATTTTATGTGAATTGAACATCAATAACATTTTATTGGCTTTGCTACCGTACCGGTACCATTTTACATGCTGTATTCTTCTTTAGCCTATTGATTTTTACTATAGTTATAGGGATACAAATGTATTGTATATTAAAAAAAAAACTAAATTATATTATTGAATTACAAATCAGTGCCACTTACACCGGTCTATGTAGCTTGATATTTTCTTACCACTTATCTGAATTAAAAGAAAGATATATAATATCATCAAAATAATAAATACTGTATGCAGTATAGTTGAGTTATATCTCTTAAATCAATGGTGGAAGTGTAACTATTTCATACTAGATTGAAAGATCACTCCCATTGCAAGGCCCCCGTACAGCTAATAGTTGAATTACAATTTCTGTTGACAAAATTAGCTATCATAATTTTCTAAGTGTAATAACAAATGTAAAAACTGCAGAAGGTTTACAGTTTATACTACTCTTGCGACAAAGATGTTGAGTAGCCTTTTAATATTGATGGTAAAATAAGTACCAAATATAAAAATATGCATAACAAACATCGTCATTTGTATACCATCAAAATTTACGGGGATGGACAGTAGAATGGAGAATGGACGCAGAACTCTGCACGACCGATTTGGTGGTGTAAGCCTTGGAGGGGGGATGGGCACCCTTGAGGAGTATCGAGGCTGGTTTAGTGTACTGTTGTAATTAACATGAAATCTGACTAAATTAGTCATAAGAGAGTTTGATAAAAAGCTTAAAGATAAAATAATTTGCAAACTGCTAAAAGTTATTGTTATTTTCCAGGGAGAATATGATGTACAGAAGAAGACTAAATGCACCTCCATCTGGTTCCTCTCTGTTCAGACAAAACAGTCAAGAATCTCCGGTAAGTAGTCTTGAATTTACCTGTGTTTTTTAGAAATGTTTGTAATTTTTTATTTACAGGAATATTTAAACCAAGCACAAACCAAAATCCAGACTCATCCTATATTCAAAATACGTCAGTAAATAATTGGACCAGAATGATTTACAATTACAGTAAAAACATAAAAAAATATTCTCTTTTCAAATATTGTTCGCCATAACACTCTGTTTTAGTGGACTTTTAGTGGATGGATTTAGTCAGTTGCTGTTTGCCGTATGTTAAATTGTATGGAATTTCTTTATGTACTACTGTGCCTCAGTGGCGGATCCAGAGGGGGGGCGACCGCCCCCCCCCCTCGGACATACATATACATATATCTTTTACTACATGTGATACAGTAGTGTATACAAATTGTGTAAAATAATTTGTCACACTAACTTTGGACAAAGAAATCCATTTTGAACTAAAAAAAACTGCCATTTTGGAGACTTACTTTACACAAATTTTTACTCGAACCCCCCAGACCCCCTGGTTTGCCCCCCCCCCCCCTTGTGGCTGTTCTAGATCCGCCACTACTGTGCGGCAATAAATTTTGCCGGACACCAACTGATTACAATTAGTTTTAGTGGTATTGAAAACCTTGTATATTTTTAAGCATAACCAATCATTAAGTGATAAAACTTACACTTAACTTTATTCTGAAGATAAAATTAAAATACAAGCTTGTTACTAAACCTACATCATATAAGTTTGATATAAACTACAACATAACCTCTCAGAGAAGCTAGGAGAAGTGGTTGTTAAGTCCTTAGGCCAGTGGGAACATTTAAGAGATTTTGACAGATTTTTATTTGTTAGATTAGTTTAGGGTAGTATGGCAAAAAATATTGATCATATTTTTCCAAAATACCGTACTTGTATGGTTATCTTGCACTAGACTTCAGTTCGCTCGGAAACAACTATACTTGTCAGGTAAACAGCTATTTTCCGGACTACTATGTAATATACTATTTCCTGAAGTAAAAACTCTGCTTTTTGGATAATATTTAAAATTTAAATATTTTTTTTGCTCACAATTCATTTTACAGATGTGCAAAACTTATCTAACTGACATGCAGTCAAACAAATTCAAACTAGTCAAAGTAAAAAGCAATGAATGTGATAATATAATTTCACTTTTTAGGAATTTTATAACATTAAATAACAACATATTGTTTGCATGTTTTTAGTTCATTCGGACATCGGAGAAAGAAAATCGAGCGCCAAGTTCGCCTTTTTTTGTCACCCCGCCGAGACCTTTATCTTCTAGTCAGATATACAGGTAAATAGTTAAATTAGCTAGTTTTCTTTTACCAAATAAAAATATTCAACGGAACTAAATCCAATCATTAGACGTTTTATTTGATAATGCGGTAAAGTACAGACACTGAAAAACAATTTTTGAGAAGAAAAAACTGTACCAGGTGTTTAAGGAAAGATCTCTGCATTTGTCATCAAACTTATAACAGTATGGATTAAGTATAATTTAATATAAAAGTTAAACAAAATAATAATCTGCGTTTGAATGTATGAAATTTATTTCTTAGACGTTTCAATTCTCTCCCTAAATAAACGGTATCAGCATTCTGACACATACTTTCTCCCATAAGTTTGTCAACAACCTTTATCATGTGTAAGTGGTGAGTGTAAATATACGCAAATGGGATTTGTACAATATTGTTCAGAATTTATTTATTTGTAAGAATAAAACTTATAACTTATAAAATTAAATGTTCTGACTGTCCAAACTATTACATAGGTCAGACCGGCAGATCATTTAACACGTTCGCTACTGAGCGTCGCATATATGCGACGCCGCGGTCTTTGCCACAGACCGAGGTATACATTTGAATCTTACACATAGACCGACTGTCACTTGGATAACAGTACACACAGACCACGGGCGAAAACCTGTAAAACAGTGATCATTTACATTGTAATACGTTACAATCGTGTTTGTAAATAAATTATTCTTGTTTATTTGTATTTTTTATAACCTTTTGTAATGTCGCATATTTGCGACGCCCGGTCTACAGCGAAGATAATAGTGAAAATTATCATAGTTTTCTTCGTTTTCTTGAAATAGACTAAACATCGCATATATGCGACAGTTCATTTTTTTGTGTTTTAAGGTGAAAGTAAGTAAAGAAATAAACAGATTATTCAAGAACAGTTTATAACTGAACAAATATAAAAGCTACATAGGACAATGCAGCATACATACTGCATACATAATACAGTGATGCAGAAAAGTAAAGACCAGTTTTTCCAACTATTATATGACGTCACCAATCATCATATCCACAGACCAAGCGACGCAGTTGTGCGTCAGACATCTCTGTAGACCACTGCAGGGAATTCAGTGCCTTCAAATAGACCGTTACAAAGATATAAGCATTTTAATAACATTAGAACCCCGACGCAAATATGCGTCGGCAGTCTATTTTAATGTGACTAGCCGTCGCACATATGCGACGGCAGTCTATGGGTGGAAACCGGCCGTCGCATATGTGCGTCGCTGGTCCATGTGAATGGAAAATTTCATACTATTGCAGTAGCGAACGTGTTAAGAAACGTTTTTCTGAACATTTACCTAAACCAAAACAAACAGAACAAAAATCCAAGTTCGCTGAACATTTATTAAATTCAAACCATACTGTTAGTAGTTTTAATGATAATGCAGAAATTTTACATGTTTGTAAGAAAGGCTTCATGCTAGACACCCTCGAAGAATTCGAAATATACAAAGCCACTAAATCCTACCCGTACAACATGCTCAATGAAAAACTTAATTATGGTTCAAACAAACTATTCAACACAGTCTTAGATCACTTTGGTAACAATTATGTTGGCAACACGAGTCCTGGAGGCACAGCTGATAAACGAAATGGAGTGGGGTAAATAGTCAGTCATCGTCGTCGACCAGTTCAGTGACGTGTGCCGGCCGGCCAATTATGTTAAATGTCTACCGTGTTCGTGTTATGTTTGTTTGTGTGTTCGATATATTTAAGTTTTGACGACATTCAACGAATGTAATATTTTAACGTTCCGTTTTTGATAATGACTACGTAGTAGTCGAAACTATAGTCAACGGATACCGACTAAGGAATTGTGGACGTCAAGGTACGTAACCTGTTATAATCAAGTAAGAATGCCTTCAATTTATCATAAATATAGATTTGTCTTTTTAATTTTTTTTTTAAGTCAGAAAGTTTTATAAAAATAGTGTTCAATATGAGGAGTTTTATTTCTAATATTTATGTTACAGAAATGTCAACACCCCATCAACACCAATGTCAGATGGAAGTACTTCACCAATCTCTGTGACTTCCAATCAAAGTTACCGGTATGTTTTTATTTATGTCCAACCTTCACATTCTAGGATGTAGGCTCTTAATTCTATTTTATCAGAATGCAGTTATGGAAGATTTCCCACTTATCTGGACAACTTTTATCAGAATTTGTGTGTTAAATGTACAAAGTTTTGTTACAGTAGCTGTGTCAGTGGCAGAAGCAGTCAGAAAATGTATCGGCCGGGACTCACTCCTCCATTCAATAGACTCAGCTTACTGTCTGTCAGCGCACAGCGAACCAGGTATTTTGTGTTCTTAAGCCTCGAGCGGGCGCTTGCGGAGTTTTCCTCCGCACTTGTAGTTTTTGTTAATATAAATATGCATAATGGGTGTCGGCAGTCGTGTCCACACTTCATGCACATCATCCTGGGAATGCCCCTAAGCTATTTTTACCCCCGAATTCCTCCTCATTTTGTTGTCAGTTGCAATTCAGTGACGCGGTGTCAGTTTGCGGAGGTTTACTCCGCTTGCGCCCTATCACGTAAGTCCTTAGCGCAGAGTTTATTTCCTCGTGCCCTATTGTCAAACTGTGTGTATATTTTATATATACAAAATTATAAACATGTTTAAAAGTATTATTTCATTTATAATTACTATCAAATATATTTTGTTTGTATGTATTTGTATAATTGCATTATTGCGGGACAAAACTCCGCACGTGCTCTCTCTCTTAACATACCTTTATACTAGAAAATTGCTCAATATGACTATTTGTGAAACATTATTCATATAATGTTAAAGAAAAAATCTTATTAACAAAGAAATTATGTGTCTGATTAGGTTATTCAACATTTACATATAATATTTCGTTATAACAACAAGTAAAATTGGTAAAACTTATGCTATTTAGTGTTGCGGAATAAAACTCTGCATGCGCCCCCTTCTGTTTTACTGGTGAAGCACCTCCTTGAGGGTTAAGTTGAGGAGTCAATCAGTCAATATAATTAAGATTAAATATTTAAAGTTCAGTGCATACTACAAAAGTGAAACAAATTTAAAACTTTTTAAAGCTGCTCTAATTAAAATGTTATTTTTTTCAGGGAAACAAGTTCAAGAAACCAACATTAAAAGAAGTGGTGCAACTAGAGCCTTTTAGTTAGGTTTTTTGTTGTTCGTTTAGTTTTTCTAACTTCTAAGTGATATTTTCTTTTATGTTATTACTTTTCTTCCTAAGTGATATTTTCTTTTAGGTAATTACTCTTCTTCCTAAGTGATATTTTCTTTTAGGTAATTACTCTTCTTCCTAAGTGATATTTTCTTTTAGGTAATTACTCTTCTTTCTTAGTGATATTTTCTTTTAGGTAATTACTCTTCTTTCTTAGTGATATTTTCTTTTAGATAATTACTCTTCTTTCTAAGTGATATTTTCTTTTAGGTAATTACAATTAGGCATTATGGTGACCAGGGGATTAAATAGCTAACTGTTTTTGTTAAACTTAAAATTTAGTCTTGGTAATAGTGTCAAAAGAGTTTAACGTTTTGTAAACATTAATTTTTATTTAAAAGAAATAATTAATTTGATTTCTAGTAATTGACTTAAACAAGAGGTTAGTTCAGTAGTTTAATGCATTGTACAGGATTGAAAACCTTTAGGTTAACTTATTCATGCTTTTTTCAGTTTATTATCATAGATAGATATCTTTAGTGTCATGTTCATAGTGTTATTTTCTTGTTGCATTAAATTAATTTAGTTTCTGTACCCTTTCAATAAATATTAATATAAAAGGTATGTTGACCAAATTATTTATTAGGTTCACTAAATAATCCCTAGGTTATTAAATAAAAAAAAAATTAATAGTGTTTTAAAACAATTAATAGTGTTTTAAAACATAATCAGATACAATAACCTCCCTCTAATAAGAGGATCCCCTTTATTACCTATCAAACAGACATTGCTTTGACTGGTCATTGTCAAAACATTGCCCTCCTTTTCACTGGTTTTACCTTTCAATAACACAGTGCTCAAATCAGTTGTGATCGGTCGGCCTTACAGAAAAGCTGAGGATGACATAGACATACTTTATTTGCAGCACAAAACATTCCATACATGTCATAACATTTAGAATAGGTGCATTGTCAAAATTAAATCTATATCTATAAAAGAGGAACTATGTATGTATGTATATATATGTGTATATACGTTATGGACTCCGAAACCGCTCGACAGATTGTAATGAAACTTTCAGGCATTATTAAGCATCTTTCAAGGATGGTTCGAGTGAAGTTTGGTGCAGATCCGTCAAAAGGGCTCTGCCCCAGAGGGTTTTAAGTGGGCCAATGTCAGACTTTTTGATCTAGAATGTTTACAAATAAATATAATTTAAAAGCAGATGTTTACTTTCACCAACTGTTTTGTAGGTTTGAATAACTACAACATTCTGTATTAGCATTAGTCATGATTTGAAATCGTGCCACAGTGTTTCTACAGATTGCAGCACAGAAAACTATTTTACTTTTGAATAAGCCCAAAGTATTAAGCCCCAATCGCAGCACTCCTGTGCACTTAACAACGTTTGTTTAAATTCACCAATGTTAAATATTAAAACATAAAAACCTTTATAAAAGTACTGTATTATAAACAATAAAAGGGATGACTTTTTTAAATGTATGACAACAGCTAATTTGCAACCAAAAGGTGAGTGAGCGTAGCGAACGAACATCAACCTGGAGGCGAGTAGCGTAGCGAACGAGCTAACCTGAAAACAAGTGAGCGCAGCGAACGATTTCCAACCTGAAGGTGAGTGAGCGTAGCGAACGAACTTCAACCAGGACGTGATTGAGCCATGCGAATACTTATGAAGTTAAGCGGGGCAAAGCCCGCGGGTACAGCTAGTCCATACATAAAACAATTAACATTTAAAATAAACTTAAAACTAAACACTTAAAATCAAAACAAATTTAAAAAATTACAAATTAATGTTCTGTAAATATCTTCAATTAAGTAAAAAAGTCTTGTCAATAAGTAAATTATTTATTGTCTCTTTAAATTTGGTTTTGTTTAATGACTTGCAGCATGGTGAAAGCACATTGTACAATTTCAGCCCAGCATACAATGGAGAATTTTCATAATAGGGTCAAACGGTGCTTGGGGAGTCTAAATATACAGGGTCCCGTAAGTAGGCCTAAACAGCCAAACTCCGGGAAATGGTTCTATGGGTCAAAATAAAGAGAAAAATCAAGAATAAAATGTTTTTCCAAAATCGCTTTGTTAACCAGATATCTGCCATTTTGTATTTTTTACATAAACATTTTTATTTTTGAAATTTTTTCAACCGATCTTTATAAAACTTGGTATGTAGATTAAGGTAGTAAAAATCAACTTTAAAAAAGAAATTCATCTTGATTCAACTTAAAATTTCAAAATGGCGGCCATTTTCGTTTTTAAATTTTAAAACTTTCTCTATCAAACGGTACCAAGTTAAAAAAGGTCTAATAATAATTAGCTGAAATATTAAGAGTTTTAGTTGTAAAATGGGTTAAACAGGACTATTTTAGCCTTATTTTACCCCATTTTACAACTAAAAATCGTATAGCTATTTATCATTCAATCTTTTTAACTTGGTACCGTTTGATAGGGAATTAAAAATGCCAAATAAAAGTGTTCTTGACATCTTTTCATAAAATTTGCCGTTTTTGAGTAATTTAAGTTTTAAAAATTAAAATGGATGCCATTTTGAAATTTTTTATTAAATCAAGATGATTTTTTTATTACACTGGTCTAGTTCACCTTTTAACGTACATACAGTACCAAGTTTCATAAAGATCGGTTAAAAAAACGCTAAAGAGAAAAATGTGTTTCAAAAAACACAAATTGGCGGATATCTAGTTAACGAAGTGATTTTAGAAAAAAATGTTATTCCTGATTTTCACCTTAATTTGAACCATAGAACCATTTCCTGCAAACTTTGCTGTTTGCTTACAGTTAAAATATATTAATATATTAATAATAATTAATAATATATATTAATATATTAATAATAATTAATAATATATATTAATATTAATATATTAATAATAATTAATAATATATATTAATATATTATTGAGTATATGCATGAAAATTTAATAAAATTTGGAAATTACATGAAAACTATAACTATAAACCTACGAGAAAGCTATACAATTTCAGAATCATTGGTCAAGTGTTTCTTTTATCAGACCAGGCTATCAATCAATCAATAAAATTCTTTATTTCATACGAAGTTCATTGCTAGCAATTTGTACAACAGTATCATCAATATGTCACAAGGCTGAACCTTTCATTTCAAGTGTAAACCAGTATCTCCTCACATACAATTTATTTGTCGATTAAGCTGAGTAGAAACAGAGATGCATCATTAAAGTAGAACTGTCCTCATTAAGTAGGTTTGAACTGATTGAGAGGAATACATGCAACTGAAGGGGAAAAGGAGCAACAAATGCACTAGTACTTACTAGTGTCCAATTACAATTTGATGGATTTAACCAAAACCTTTTCTACTGTATTTAACTTATTTTCAGCCGTTAAATTTCAAACAATACGTTTTAGCTACATCATATTAACATTATTATTATCTTCATCGTTTGAGTTCGGGTTTGCGGCAATGTATTTTTATGAATAAAACCTCTATATTGATACCAAACTTGACCTCTGCTGCTATTTGACTGTATGGGCTATTAATTAACAGCTGTGTCTAAGGATTATGTCGGTCTTAGTCACTAACAAGACTATACAAGATCGCGCCACTCATTCCACACTCATCTCCATTCATACTTGGCTTAAAATACCTACATTTGTATAGTCGTCATTTCAAAGACAGGTAAAAAAGTATTAAAAGTATTTAAAAATGTTGTCTTACTCTGTGTGGCCCATCCCCCTTAAGGGATAAAACGTGATAATAGTTTAAGACAGTATATATTTATGGCTATTATTGATATACCAAATCTCATTACTTTATCTATATTGGTAAAAATATTTACCCAATCCGGGACTTCATCAAACGAATCGTCCACACCCATTCTTTATATCAATTTCACTGCATCAATTGCTAAAAAAATAAGTGTAAACAAAGAAAAAGTAAAAGCAATAACATATCGTTTGTTTTGAGACAGCTGCTTGGTTATAATGACATTCATTTGAAAGAAGAAGTGGTTACATGTTGAAGGGAAAAGTAAACATGCTAGTAAAGCTAGTGACGTAATTGTATATGTTTATTATCCATATCGTTATCAGTTCTAATATCCTTGATAATTACCCACCCTCATTGAAACAATGTACATAGTAATTTGCATATTAATTTATTTAACCTATAGGTAAGATATTTAAATTTGAAATAAAAGTGATATTTTTGCCTAAATCAGTGCCCCCAAACGTAACCAGAACTGAACAAACTCCAAACAACCTTATTTTAGAGTTCGTAAAAGATGGTTTGTATAATTATTGCAGTAGGTCAATGATTTACTTTGTGTTCAATCTATGTTATCCCATCTTTGGATAAAATCCGGCTGAGGTTGTGGTAGTAATTTAAAATCGTGATTACTGATGGTTATTGCTTGATCTCCTTTTTTTATGACATCAATATTACCGGGCCTAAAAGGCTACCAAGATGAATTAAAGTATCAGGTAAATCGAAGATAAAAACGTGACAGGTTTTTTTTATCAACCACTTGACGGATTTTCACGGTTTTTGTGTTGAAAGAAAGATAATTTTGAGAACTAGGTAATGTCAAAGCCATAATTTTAGTTTAAGGTATCAGTTTTTTAGAAATTAAGTTTTAATTTTTAAAAAGTCTAGCAGCCGACGTAAACATTCTAGACCAGTTTTTGCTATACAGTAATACCATTTGCTTAACGCAACAGCTGTAAACATTCAGTGTTTTTTAAATTCAGTATTTGGATGAAATTGAAATGACATACGTATGGTTAATATATTTTTACTATGTGTAATGCTGTGATCATTAATACGTTAATTTATTCGGTAAGAGGATGACAGATTATTTAAATATACATAATAAAATACTTGATGTCCTAATTTATATTTTTGAGCAGTCTTGAAAATCTTTAGTTTGTTTTAGTGCAATATAATTTGTTATAACTAACAGCTTGTTGAATATACAAATATTCCATATTCTATAGAGATCTATGACGTTACCTATTTTATTTACTTTGTGATTTTGTCATTGATTATAGGAAATAAGTAAGATTCTATAACCATTGCTATATACGAATCGAAGCTACAGTTTTCAAAAGAAAGCTTATGAAAATGTTTTTTACTACTTCAATTTTTGAGGAAAGGTTGAGAAATAACAATGATCACATGCTTTAATTCATCTTGGCAGCTTTTTCTTTGAAATAAATTTTGAACTGCTTTAAACTATGCTTGAATTACGAACATAAATATTGATATAACTATATACAGTTTTAATGGACTACTCGATTCCCGTACGTAGGACGGGCCAACAGCTCGTTTTTATTTATTTTGACTTCAATAGTGCTTTTGTCTCATATAATATTGGTTATAAATAGAAGGAACAATCAAAGACATTAAAGTACTGGTAACTCTTATTAATCTACAATATATGGTTATGGTGTATTTGTATTTAATTTCATTTTAAGTATGTGTTTACAAACCCTGACTTTTTTACATTTATATTTTAAGGGAACAGATTAAACCCTGGTCTTGGTCATATGGCAAGCTTTTGTAAGTAATTCA